GGAACAGCTAATGCTTGAAGATTCGATTGAAATTTAGCATTTCGAATAGTTGTATCACATGCAAATGTTGATGATCCTACTTTTTCTGATGGATATTGATTTAAATATGATATAGCAAAAGCATAAGCCATAGCTGTTATTAATACAATAGCTATTGATGCAAGTCCACCAATCCATAGTTCACCTTCACCCTAAAATAATACCATGAAGAATTATTCTATAGAAAGAAAAAGAGATTTTTTAGAGTTATACTTACAACAAGATCTGTTCTTTGGAAAATATTCTTAATAATAGTCAATAATTGATCACGTTTTTCTGGTGGAAACGACCAATAGAGTAAAGCAATGCCAAGAAATAAAATAAAAAAAATAGTCAAAAGTATCAATGTCCAGAAAATTGGTGAAACTACTAGACAATGACCTGTTGAACCTAATGAAAACATATTATTAAGAAGAATATCTTCAAATACATCCATATCAGGTGAACGAGGATATGCATATGCTTGTGATATAGAAATAAGTAAAGTTGAATTAATTTCATAGACAGCTCCCAATGGACAAAAACTTGTTAATGAACATGTCATACATGATATACTAGCAACAATACCGAGATTTCTTGATCCACTTGGACATAATATGCAAGGATGAACACCAGTATCTGATTTATAAGTACCTCCAATACATTTGATTGAATGACTAACAACAGGCATTGCAGCAGCTACTGGTGAGTTACTTATATCTGTTGATGCATAATAACCTGATGTTTCAGCTAATATGAGAACAACACCACCGTTGTTATCGAGTATTGCAAGAGATGCTGGTGTTGATACAATTCGAATTAGTTTTGAATTGATAGTTGATGGTAATGGTTGTTGAGCATTAGGAAAGACAGCTGATGGTGATGAAGGTACAATTGTATCATTTAATGATGTATATAAATAAATTTTTGATGAATACCATGTTAGATAATTAAGTGAATATGTTGAAACAAGAATAGCTGCTTGTGAATTTGTCAACCAAGTTACACTTTTACCATAACCAACTGCTTGACCGTTTTCGAAAGAACTAGCTAAGATCAAGCTTTCACCATGATTACCAACAATAAATAGAAAAACTGTATTTAAGAAAGGCATGCCGACAAGTACTCGAGTTGAATCATCAGAATTAATTTTGACTGACATGGTATATTGACTACTCCATGAATTAACACTTGAATATGTCAAACGTGATTGCCAAGAATTATTAGTAGCACTATAAGACCATGTTGATAAGATGGTAAGGTTAGTATTCCATATTAAATAAACAGTAGGTGTTGCACGTACACGAGATCTTGCTGAATTTTCAACAAAACCTGCAACAACTGTAAATGTTTCACTTGCATCAGCTGCACATGGATAAAATGTCGAGTTGTTTGGCCAAATATCATTACCCACTTTTGTAGTCATCGTGATGTTTGAAAAAGGTCGATAAATAAAGCCAAAATCTGTTGCTAATCCTATTACATATTGTCCATAAGGTTCAACAGCAATAACAAAAAATTCTTGATGTTCATATGATGAAATAAATTCAAGATGATTTACTTTAAAATAATCACAAGATAAAGATTGTCTTCCTAATATATATTGTTGCACTGTTTTTGAATCTTGATTTATCCAAATACCGATAAATGTTCCATTCTTTCCTGATGTATCAGTACCTGACCAATCATTAGATACGATTTCACCAGAAAAATAAAAGTAAGGATTGAGAGTTGTATTTTGTTTTTGTCCTATACCTACTGAATAAACATAATGTGTTGTATCATCATAATTTATGGAACATTGAAGTGAATCAAATGTATAATTATATGGAGCAAATTGAACAAGAAATGTTTTTCCAACACCATATGCTTGAACAAAAAGAACATCATTAGCAGCTATCTTAGAACCATAAGCATCGTAATCACTTGTATCAGGAGAAAAAGTACCGATTACTTTTTCATCATGAAGCAAAATAATAAGAAAAAGAAGATACATGATTTGACTTGATGTCATTAGAAATGAGTGAGATCCTCTACTTGACTATTTCTTTGAATGACTTCTAAAAAATAAAGGGCATTCATTAATATTTTTCTATGAAATTAAAAAAAAACAACTTGGTGTATTGATCAACGGAAGTATTTGACGATCATTTTTCTTTGTTCACTTTACTTGATTAAACAATAACAATTTTATTATTAATACATTTTTTTTGTCATGAATTCGTGATTGCAGGTTTGTTGAAAATATAATCATTTTGATGAAAAACAGAAAGTATATAAAAATATAAAACAGCGAAGTCTACTACATTCTACCTAGAGGAACTTAATAAATGTTCTGAGTTAATTTGATCATTGTGATTGGATGAAATTATCACTATGACTTTTGAAATAA